TGCGGTCGATAAGGGCCGGAGACTCGGGGTGTGACATCCGATCATTTGTAGGACTCTACATGCCACTCGGCGCGTCGGGCACACGAAAACGGCACGAGTCCCACGTGGCCGTCGCGCACTCGTTCTCAAGAGCTCTCGAACGTTTGAAACCACGAATGCGTCCCTTATGACATCGTCAGATCGCGAGTTTTCCCGATTTTCGAGCTCGGCCGCGCGCGAATAACGCCTCTTCAGGGCTACTCCTAGATTTCACTCACGAGCAATGCCAAGAGGGCGTGGGAGTTCGTCCGCTCGCCTACGTGATATGAAACTCCGCATCGGTTGATTCGAGCACACCGCGACACTTGCTATCGAAAAGCATCGTAATGCTGTGCAATTATTTGTGAATATACTGGAATAATTAGGAGGCTTGTCTTTGCGAAACTCATTGATTAGACACGTGAGTCAAGAAGATATGAGCGATAGAAGACACCGCCAATTTCTTCACATACTAACGTATCTTACTTTCAAAAGCTCATTAACGATTAACGATATTATGATGTATTATTTTTGTAAGCTCATGATCCGCATGTTATTATATTTTTTAAAGAAATCATTGCAGCTACACGTTCTGTAGCTGTTCGCCAAACGTACATCGGCAATGTCAGAACAACAGTTTTATAAAACTTTGAGACAAAAACTTTGGCAGAGTAAGATAATGAAATATACTTGTGCTTACATTTTATCTTCTTTTTTAAACGAAAGAAATGTTTTCTTGCTTATTTATTTATTTATTTATTTATTTTTTTTTTATTTATTTTTTTATTTTTTTTTTTTTTTAATATTAAAACATAATTTTCGTAACGAGTAATCTGTTTGGTTCGGTAAATATCAGTATTCCATTAGCTAGACAAATTAGAAGTATTCTATAAGTAATAAAAAATACTATTTCACGGTTTTATTACAATATCTCATTAATCTCATTTATCTACTGTTGTGTATTTACAAATATGGGAAATTAAAACATTGATTTTTAAGTGCATTTATTAATAGAGACAAAATACGTTCAACTTTTATGAATACTCTTTTAATAATACTTTAGCCTCGATGTAAACAAACTCAACCTATACTAATTTCAACTTCTAGACAAGTACAATTGTTTACATTACACTTTTACAATTTAAATAATAAAAACGTGCTATATAAACCTATATGTAATAGTATATTGGTAATGTAAACATGTAGTTTTATTCATTTTATTCGTGCGCCAAATTAGGTAGTTCTCATTACCATTCTAAATATCATTGGGATTGATGTAAAATCAAGTCGTAGATACAACTTTCATTTACTATTGTATAAAAGCATTTCCTGTAATCGGAAGTATTAAACGTATAATTTTGTAAGCTCGTAGCTTTTGTAAGGGCAACAGAAAGTCATTAATTTACGACTATTCGTATAGCTCTTTTACTACTTTAATTATAGTTAAAAATACTAATCACATATTGTGCTTTGACCGCCTGATCATTAGAAAGTATTCATATATTATGCATCGGTATGTTAATTCCAAATGAGAAATAAATAAAATATAGGGTATTATTATTCAACAAAGCAATGGTAAAAAATGCTTTGAAAAATATATATTTCTAAATTCATTATGGCTTTTACAAATGCATGTATTTGTGCTTATAATGAAAGAGAAATATTTCTTGTTTACTTCTCCTTTAGTGCTCATTATTGAACAGAAAATAGTCTCCCATTGAGAAATACCGATATTGATAAATTCAAATAAATTTAACAATTATTTGGCGATAATAAAAATCTGATAGGTTTGCTTATGAAAATTGTGACATTTTATTGCTCATAATCATATGGAAATAATGGTTTTTCCTACTAACAAATATTGAGTTTATAAATTCGAATGGAAACGGTAGCGACAATCGATAAAACATTCTTTATAGAAGTAACAATAAATCATGATTTATTACAAAGTTTACATAAGCGCCTGCGAGCGTCCTCGTGCTCAAAATTAAGAAAAAATACAGACGAATTATAAATAAGAAAAAATTAGAAAAAGTCGGAGCGCGCGTATTATGCTACTGCCTAATCAATAGTTAATTTGGAACATAACGCATACAATTTCCAGTCGACGTAAATCACAAGCGAAGCGAGTCCATGTAAACTCCCTCCGCCATCTTGTTCCCTTTGCCCTTTATACCCGAGAAGCGTGATCTTACTGAAGCGCATAATGCGACGGTTACGCGCCAGTCTCGCATTATGAATTTCGTGATCCGACGGATAGAGGCTCTCTAAACCCTCGATCGAGGCGCACTTCTCCCGCGAGATCGAAACTCGTTACTTTATTAACCTGTCATTGGACGAGAGGCTGGCTGATTATTGCCTTGTTTAATCCCGTGGGGCTGAGAATCGCGATTCGACTCGCTTCTTACTCGTGTAATCCCTCGCCGCAACGACGACTTTATCTCGGCTCGTTGTCGCACAGACACGAATAAATTACGCGTCGGCGCATCGATCCCACCACCCCTTTTGCAACGTCCCTCTTTTCCTCATCCTTTCGCTTGTTTGCACTAGGCGACGCAAGTCTCCCCCCGCCCTCCACCTCCCTCACCCCTGCCCGCCGCCCAACGCCTCCCGCCCGTCACACCCCCGCTCTGGCCGCCAGCATCGTTGCCTTCATCCACTCTCTATCCTTCTCCTCCTTCTGCTCCTCATCGTCGTCGTCGTCGTCATCGTCGTCGTCCTCCTCCTCCTCCTCATCCTCCTTCTCCTCCTCTTCATCCTCCTCATCCTCCTCAGCCTCATCCTCATACTCTTCCTCCTCTGCCGCTTTCCGCCCGTCCTCTTCCGCTTTATCGCTGGTCTTCCCCCTGTTGTTCTTATTGTTATTATTGCGTTTTTCATCAACCGCTCGGGCGCTTCCTTTCGGCGCATCGCCGCTACTGTTTGGCTAAAAGATTTCGGAAAAACTCGCCCGCGGCCGTGCCCCGTCCTACATGTGTATCCCGCGTGAAATCCAGGATGTGCGTAACCCGAACGATGAAGAAGGTAAGAGGGCGGAGTCAGGATCGACCAACCAGCTCGCAGGATTTCAATTTCGACTCGCCGCTGGATTTTATCTCGCTCCCTCCGCCCGTATCCCGTGAAATCGGGGCGCGCGCAACGCCGGAACATGTCCAAAATTAAAGCAACAGCGGCTCCCGCTCCAGAGCTTTTTTCTCCATATTATTCTGGTTGATTGTTAATTAACGATCGCGCGAATTGGCGGGGCGGTCGCTCATAAATATAAATACCCGCGTTTGGCAGCCGGCGAGTCGAAAAATCGCAGAACTCTGCGCACAAGAAGAGCATTTGTTTCCGTGTATTATGTACACGTGACACGACTGCAGCGTTCAAGCTGGAGAAAGAATGGAGCGAGAGCGCGTAAAAAGAGGCCGACAGCTGAGTGTACACAAGGATCCCTCTCTTCCCCCCTCCTCACTATCTGTCTGTTTCTCTCTCTCTCTCTCTCTCTCTCTCTCTCTCTCTCTGTCCGTCTGTCTGTCTGTCTATCTAACTATCTGTCTATCTATCTCCTTCTCGACCTTTCTCTATCTCCCGTTCTCTCAGCTCACTTTCGATGCCTTTAACCTTTCAAATTTACCCCAGCTTGCTCGTCCACTCTCTCTCTCTCTCTCTCTCTCTCTCTCTCTCTCTCTCTCTCTCTCTATCGCTCCCGAAGCGTCCCTCCGCGCGTCGCGCGCCAACGGCCCTATGCAAACACGACCAATGAATTGGCCGGCCTGTATCGCCTCTCTATGATTTAATGGTAGGAGAATCTCGTGAACGTACGTCGCAGGTTCGATATCCAGATTGATCATCTGCCCGTCGTTCGGCTCCCGTGCCGCCCGTTATTTATCGGTCTGATAGTCCGCTTGTGACTTCCGCTTTTCCACGAGCGGCAGACAACGGAAAATAAAGAGAACGCACCGTTGGGCAAACGACTCGGGTCGAGATTTTGGCTCGACTAAGGGAGCGGCCCAAGCGAGGGGATGACGCCAGTCGCCGCGAAACTCTTCGAGTGCTGCTACAGAGGGGCGAACTCCGAGAGAACTCGGGGTGAACTCGGGGCGAACCCAAACTCGTAAGTGAATTTTATTGCGCGATTATATTGAATCCCTGAGAGGCGTATGTGGCGTCCGCCTCTCCCCAGCCCCCTGGCGTATATTCATCCTCGAGGGAGCGACTTGCCGCGGAAAACTTCCCCAACATTCGCCTCTATCTTAATGTAGAATTGACAAAGAACGTACGCCCGCGCATCTTCCTAAACGTAAAACGCAAGGGAGACTCAAGACTCGCGTTAATTAAAGTTTCTCGTAACATCGTCGTCGTCGTGGTCGCGTCGTCGTCGTCGTCGTCGTCGTCGTCATCGTCGTCGTCGTCGCCGTCATCGCTGCCGCTGTCGCCGTTACCTCCACTACAACCGCCAGTGCCACTACTATTGCTCTCGTCGCTCCTCTGCAACTTGTGGTTAAAGCTCCAGGGGTCATAAGGAACGGCTTTAAGAATTAATTTTCGCGCTCCCCGGGGAGAACCTGGGCGAACGAACGATGGCCCAGGGGGTCGGCGAGCCATGGCAAGGGTCTCCTCACCGTGAGCCCAGCGTCCGATACCTGCCTCGAGGCTTGCGCGAACAAAGACCAAGGAGCCGTTTAGTTCCGTCGACTCTTTCGTCCAAGTGGATTATCGACGGGGTCAAAACAATGCCGCGACCCATTGTCTCTAGACACAGCTTTTGTATCTCGAGTGGTCCCCGAGTCAAGTATCGCTACATCTGGTCTCCGTGATCCCGTTTAACAAGAGTCGCGAGGGTGGCTCGCGCTTTCCGCACTGGTGCGCATCAGCCGCTTTTTTCATCCTCCTCCGAATATCGCCGAGACGCGCGCCTCTCGTCATTATCTCATCATCATTATCGACCTACGCCTCCTCACCCACCTCCCCCTCCTTTCACCTTGACGAATCCGTGGTTTATCAAGGGCTGCTCGCGCCCGCGGGCCTCTCCTTATCTAACGGACGATCTTATCTCGAGTGGGCCATGTCCTCGAGAGCGTGGGACACGCTGTCGCGACATGAAAGCCCGTCGTTGAGGGCCGGACGGAAGTGTGAGCGGCGACACGTGTCCCCGTATAGATAATGCACGCGGCACAGGTAATAAAAATAAAACATTGGCGAGAGAGGACCGAGAGACGAGGTGACACCTGGGTGAGCTCGTCGATTCGTGTATTGTCGATGAACTCTTCGACGCCGTCGCCTTACACGTGCACTCGCAAGAGCCTACCGTCCACCTGCGACCCGACCTAACTGCCCCCGATTAGTCGATTTGCTCGGTGAATACGGAACCAGAAAAAAATGTGGTAGTCCCAATGTCTCCACGATCGGCGACATATGGCGCTCATCCGTGATTTTCTAGAAAACATCGTCGAGGCCTAATTCAGCGGCACTTCGGATCGAGCTGGACTCCCGCTAAACTTGCGATCTTGTTGCCTCGGCATTGTGACGCGCCCGCGCAACGTGCAATTTACGAACAATGCAACCGATATCGAGCCACCTCCCCTCCCCCGCCATTGTTGCAATGACAATGGGCCAACAATGCACAAGCGCCGACTCTTTAGCAGCCAATTTCATTTTGAAATATTTATAAGCGCTTTCGACCCCCGCGCCTTTGCACTAGCTTCATTATTATGCGAGTGCGTACGAGGGGTGGGATGTTACGATATTCGCCCCCGTCCACCATCGAGCAGAATATTGAGAAATTGTCGCGGAATTTCGCCTCGATCGGCCGAATCTGCATAAGCGTCGGAATTAATGTTAAGCGCGCTCGATTGAAAATCCGGGTGTTTGGACAAGCCGCAGTAACGGGGTGGCTTTGTCCCCTGCCTCGAGAATTATTAACCTTGATAACAATTAATTTGAAATTTCAAAGTTTTCGCAGGGCAAACGCTTTTGTCGGCGTACTTACTTACACTCGGGGCCGACCTAATCTACATAATTTGGCCGCAGCGCCGGAACACTCGAGGACACCGTCGGGCTGAGGAGCAGCGAGAAAAAAACATAGCGAAAGAGACGGAAATGTAATAAGATCGAGAAAGGGCGATCTCTCTCTTAAGTAAAATCCATTAGGATTTGTAAAATGTGGGTGAGTGTGGGAACGCGCTTTCGGCTTAATCGTGTGTCCCGGGGAGGAGATAACAGGTGCCGGATGTCTAGGATTACGTGTTCCCCCGCGATTAGCCGCGGCTATTTTCGGTTGTTTCACGCACCGTCCTCGATTGCTCGGGTATGTCTTGCGGTCCGGCGAATTTGCGGTCAATGCCCATTATCCTCGAGCTGCTCCGCCCCGAGCTCACCTCCGGGCAGCGTAAAATTGCCGGGCCTTAAGCCCCCCGGCCGCGGTACATTGAACCCGCGAAACGAGGGAACGAGAGGAGCAAGCACCTCGGTTAGTCGCATTTAACGAGCTCTTTATTTGCCGTCGAGAGCATTAAGAGCGGATAATGTAGCGGATCGTGTAACGGATCGTGCGCGGGAGCTGCCACGGTATACGTTTTATTGGTTTCTTCCTATTCTTCATATTCCCTTATTCCCTTATTCCCTTATTGTCGTGTCTCGAAAATGCGAAGATGCCCTAGATCTTCGATCCTTATTAGTACGCCTCTTTGGCTTTGGGAGCATTTAGTGCTTGATGACCTTGGCAAAGGGCTCCGTCGTGAGGTTCTTCGGCTTGGTATTCCAGTTGGGTGGAGGAGGTACAGTAGGCCTCGGTACCATCGGCAAAATGTTCGGTTTCTTCTTCTGCTGTTGTTCCTGCTGCTGCTGCTGCTGCTGCTGCTGCTGCTGCTGCTGCTGTTGTTGCTGCCGATGTTTGCTATTTAGCAACAACGGCTGTTTCTTCGAGCAATTTGAGCAGATCCACGTGTTAAAAGCCTTGTTAAATCGTGGCTTCGTCTTCGGGCTGAATCTTACGGATTTTATTATGGAGTTGTCGGGATTGTATCTGCAACGATTACAAACCCGTTCCCCGTCCCATCGTTGAGTTTCCACGAATATGTATATTTCTGTCACAGCTGTTAATTGCGTAGTTTAAAGAACCAATGATCACTTATGGCAAAGCAATTCTGTAAAATTATTTGTTACTTTTATTGGTAAGTACGTACGTGCTTATGGACGTACTATTAAATTACGTAGGTTACTAAAGTGTCTAAAGTGAAATTCTACTTTGTTTACAAATCCGAATAGCAGAGTGAATTAAGTTGATTACGAAAATAATTTAATTTGTATTAGGACCCAAGCACGAGCACTAAGAGTATTTTAATCAGAGAAATATAATTTAAGTGCCTCTCATCTCTACAACATCATGAAATTTTCAATCAACTTCGTAGCATGGAAAATATTAAAATTAATGTAAGAAAAAGGGCCTTTTAAGGAATTAGCACTCGTTGCTTTCTTTTTTTTTTTTTTTTTTTTTTTTTTTTTTTTTTTTTTAATTAGGCATCAGATACAGTTTCTAGATTATAAAAAGAAAATTAAAGTTTTTCACCTATATTTATTTTTAATTTTCGTTAATATTCCATAATTGACGCCGCGGCAAAGGGCTAATTCGACTTGTTTCCGAAGGGTTTTGTTGAGCTTAATGTTGTAGATTTTACTTATTTCCTTGGTAATACGACTGGCAGAGAAGCCTTGTTGGACATCATTCGCTTTGTATTTTCTCACTTTTGAAAATTTCATCTTCTTTAAAGTGTCGGTACCGGAATAATTATCGGTAACCGAAATTTGTGCAGGAATAAAAATTTAAAAACAGTCAAAAGATCATGTTTACGTTATGCAAACATATTTATTTTTCGCGTTCCAGTGACAACCAAATTAGAAGAGAGAAGAAACCAATTGTTTTTTATCTCTGCTACTTTCACGCTCGCGCCATATGCTTTGCAGCGCGTCGCGTTCAATTCACGCATTTGAAATTATCGCGGCGCACTCCAGTGACAGGCCCGTCGTTGCCGTTAATTTCGGGTAAAACTCATGTCGCGTAACCGCTAAACTAACAGGAACGGCGATGCAGCTCTGCAATAATAACCGAGGGCGTGCGAGGCGAGAAGAGTCGCGCTCTCATCTTTGACGTTTGATTCCGTTTGTAAAATGCTTGGGAACACAGGTGCTTGCGGGACAGGGCCCGGACCGAGAGAGGGTGAACGAAAGAGACGCGGATCGAGGATAGTCTTTGACAAACATCAATATTTGCGAGGGTCGCGTCAGGAAGCCGCCCGGATTCCGAAGGAGCCACAGTATCGCGATGCGCGTTGCCCTTAATCAGCGTGAAGGATTCTTCTGCGTCGATCGTTCATTCGTTCGCGGACAATGTAATTTTTCAACCGAATTTGCGGGGACGGACGGGGCAAGGGTGAAAAGGATTTAATTAAACGCTGTCGGAAAAGTGGGAAAGAAGCCAGGGAATGCCTGGGAGTGTGCTAAAGGGGACGCGACCAAAACGAGTGCTTTGTTGCTGAAACGCCTGAAATGTTAACGAATGGCGCACGAAGCAATAAATAATAATTAGAGTGTAATTAGCGCGCGCGCGACACCCGGCCTTATAATTAGCCGTCGGTTTGTTTCGACGGCTCGCGCACATCCGCATATCGATATCCTACGCTCGAGCGGTAAAAATGAGCATTTTTCCATTGAGTGATTAGCACCAGCGAGATTATGCCAATTGCGCACCGCCAAATACATGTACAAGGATGGAGAATAACAAATTTTTTGTAAAGGACAACGGCAAAAAATACATACGTTAGGCTAGTGCACTTTCGAAGTGGGATGCCAAGTGCATCGAGCGAGTAATCGACTCGAGCGGTGATCCGAAGTAAAATATTTATCTGGCCAAATAGGCAAGTGCGGCCGAGCAAGGTCGGGAAGGGGGGAGGGGGATGGGAGTACAGTAGGAAAACAATGAAGGGTAAGCTCTTTGTTTACGGCGCAATCGACTCTTACCGGCATTTATATTTGGAGTTAAATTTAAAAGCAAATAGAGGTACACGACCGCGGAATATAAACAGGCCGGGGCACCAGACGCATTTTAATTTCCATCTCTAATGATTATGCTCAAATGGATAGCTTTTTAAATGGATTAAAATGTACGAGCTGCACATTTTCGATAATTAATCGCTCTCGCGACTGTAAATGAGGAGTCGCTCGAGCTACGTGGGGCCGATCAAACTCTCGCGTTCTCTCATTTACTCATTTAAGATGCTTCCGCTTATCTACGCAGCGAATCGTGCCTTGCACTAACGAGGACCTACTCGTTAATTATATCGCGAGAGCCTCCATTTGCAATTACTCTAGAGACTTCGGGAGCAAAGCGCGCGAAAGTTCGTCCACGGGGTTAAAGGTCGGGATGAGGGATGAGGGATGGGGGTTGGAGTTGGGGTTGGGGTTGGGTGGGGGTGGCTTGCCCGACAAGACGAGAACGAGGGCGAATCTTGAGCGACAGACGGGATGCCGAGTTTTTTTGTCGAAGAATGGCGTCGAGTGGTTGAGCGGGTGGGTAACGCGTCGTATAGGTGCTTATTGGGTCCGTGGGGGGATGCTGCCGCTGTCGCCTCCCAAGCTTAGAAACAACCCTCTAGTTAAACATCGCAACATCAATCAGCACCAGTCGCCGGAGTGTAAGCCATTGGCGCCAGCGTAGCGATATTCCCTGTGCATTTACATTCGGGCAAGGAGAGCCCCGGAGCGGCCTTGCCGGCAAAGCTTTGCTTTTTGGTCGTGAGCAAATTTGTAAGCACGCCGATGCGCCCACCTACCTCTCTCATTCTTTTATTTTTTCGCTTCGTTCTAGCCTATCTCCTCCGCCGCTGAGACGCGACGCCCCAAAATGCCCGGACGAGGCGCGCGATGAGCCGCGTCCGAATACCGAAGTGATCAAGAGAGGCGACCGATCAGCTGTCGATGACGGCCCTCGCTTGACCCCTATTGTCACAATGACTCAGTATTTGTGGAAGGACTCCCTTCGGCCACCCCCGTCAAAGCTCGCATGCGCTACGGCGTCGGCGGCGGCGGCGGCGGCGCTGCAGCGAGTATCCGATCTATATGCAGCTCCGTGAGCTCGATGGGGTGGTGCGCCCAGCGCATGCGGACACCCGCTCCGGAAGCTCTCCGAGCTCCCAAGCTCGCAAGCTTCCGGGGATGGCTGCGGGTCTGTAATATAGAGCGGCCGCGCGCTCCAGAGGGCGGCGAGTTGGTCGGGGACGCGCGGGACGAGAGAACGACGGGTGGATGGATGGCGCGGGAGGGAGGGAGAGAGCTGGCTAAAGGCGGACGTAATTTCCTGCCCGCCTGACAACGTTGCAGACATGTTTGCCGAACTAACACACAGACTCGGGCGGCGAGCTATCTCCTCGCTCTCCGTCACACTGCGTCTCTCTTCCTCTATTTCTCCCTCGCATGTACACCTACACGGGCAAACCTACTTAGAGCCTACCAGCCAACAAATCCTCTCTGCAACCCGGCGTCGGTCTCGTTATAACCTCTATTGCGCCTCGCCCAAGGCGCTTTCATCCCAGTGCTTCGCTTCTTATTTTTCTTCTTTTTCTTCTTCTTCTTCTTCTTCTTCTTCTTCTTCTACTTCTTCATCTTCTTCTGCTTCTTCTTCTACTACTTTGTCCCTATGCGTCCTGCGTATCAACGACGAATCTCAAGAAAATACCGTAAAAATCATTTCTTTTCGAATCGTCCACGCGCGACTCCTAAGACCTTACGTATCCACTGCCAGATTTTTAGAGTCACGCCAGCTGTGAGAAATCTTCCCGACGAGTGACCTCCTCCGATAAAAAAGGAAATTTCTGTACAAAATTAAACCGGAGAATTTGGAGTGTACGCGAAACCGAGTCGATAACTCGGCTGACGGCTCCACCCGTAACTCCAGTGCTAGCTTTGTTTGCAATGAACTTATGAATTATCGGCGTGAGTTAATAGTCGCGGACCCTGCCGAGGAGCCGTCGCTTACACACACCTTCGCGCGCCGCCGTCGCCGCCACCGCCGTCACCACCACTACCACCACCCCCAGGAAAAACAAGCGGCTGTCACGCCTTTAATGCACAAATATTGTGCTTCTTCCGGCCAAGGCGAGAGACGTAGGGGGTTGAAAGTGGCAACCTCCCTCGTTCCTTTCCTCTTCACTCGTCCCGTCTCGTTTAGTTCCGTATGTTTTTACGTCCGATACTATATTTGCGCTCTCCGCATAGGGAGTGAAATGCGTCCACCAACGCGGTTCCGCGATTAGCCGTGTCGAAGCTTTTGGTGGAAGCTTCTGCAATCCTTGGCGTGCTCGGCGGCTCGAGCGTCACCGCCCACGCGATCGATACTGCGGGCCACTCTTCACCTAAGAATTGGAGAAAATTCGCTGCACGGACAAGGCTGAGAGGGACTTTCGGGGAAAATAATATTTGTGTATTGGATTCGTGGCGAGATTTGCCGAGGGACGTGAGTTTCTCATAGTAAGCGAGGTCACACTCAAGCAGTGCCAGCTCGGCTTCGTCTCGAACTCCATAGATTACGGGGAATCGACGAGTACTTGGCGCTCCGACACCGTCCCAAACATCTCAGAGGCAGCCTAAGGAAACACATTTGCCTGTGGGCAAACACACGGACCGCGCGCGCGATCGTTTTATTGTCGCTCGCCAACGTCGTTGTAAAGTGGACGGGAAAATGCGAGTATTCATGGGTTGCGGAGTCTCATCCTCATCCCGGTGTCCTTTGAAGCGACCGTGCGTGCACTCCTTTTGTTGCCGCGTCTCGAGCGATATCCATTATTTCTTGTGACGCGATCGCGGTCGTCCTAATTTTGCCACACGTTCGTTCGTTCGTTCGTTCGTTCGTTCGTTCGTTCGTTCGTTCGTACGTTCGTTCGTTCGTTCGTTCGTTCTTTCGTTCATTTATTCGTTCATTTATTCGTTTCGTCCCCGGAAAATACTATCCCTCCTCGCCCCAAGATAAACAAAACCAACGAGAGAGCGCACAAGATAGTTCTATTGAATTGCCGAGGTGCCCTCGGGTTATGAGATTTTATAAGATTTGACGAGACTTTATGAGATTTGACGGGGATGCCGTGATGGCTGTGGGCCCGCGGCTATACGTGAGCTAAAGGGTCCGTGGGTCTCTCTCACTGCCTTTCTCACTTCCTCTCTCTCTCTCTCTCTCTCTCTCTCTCTCTCTCTCTCACTCTCTCTCTCACTCACTCTCTCTCATCATTTTTACCAACCTTTCATTCTCCCGCTTCTCTCACACCGTTTTCGTCCTCTGTCTTGGCCACCTCCGCGATCGCTCACTCTCACTTCTACTCTCATCTCCACACCCTGTCAATATTTGGCTCAAACACGTTGAAACAATAGCCAGAGCTTCGACTTCCCGGAACATGCTGGGCGCGATCGCGTCGAGGCCCTATTAGCAATGCATAAAGAACCGATCCTGGGCATCGAAGAGAATTATTGAGGGCGACAGGAAGTGGTGATGCGACCCCGGGATGTCCCACGCGCCCCGTAGATCACGGCATTCAAGAGGTCGATTGGACCGAGGCCCCGAACCATTTCTTACCCATTGCCGGGCATTTAGTAGACGTTTACTCAAGCGTTTCACAATCTGAATGCCCGTGTAACGCATCGCAAACATTTTACCGGCGTTTCTTCCCGTTTCCACCCCCCTCCCGCCGTCGTACACGCTCGCTCACTCTCTCACTAACTGTCTTTCTGTCTCTCCGTCTCTCTCTCTCTACCTCTCTCTCTCTCTCTCTCTCTCTCTCACTCTCTCTCTACCACTACTACTACTACTACTACTACTGCTACTACTAGTACTA